AGATTGTATCCATAAATTATATCGTTGCTGAGGAGACCTTAGATATAAGTTTAATTTTGATGAGACTTGCTTTAATTTTGATGAGACTTGCTCAAAGGATAAATCAAGATCAGCTTTAAAAACTTTTGAAAAGAGGGAAAGAACCATTAAAGATCAAAGGACTTGAACCAAATAGATTTGGGAATCTAAGAGGATCAATGAATAATATTTATTAGTGTTTTATTGATTCCAGAAGAAGGGGCATGATACTTTCAACTTTTAAAAGACTATAAATATAGGAGTGTATGGTCTTATAATAAGAATTCGGGCAGATCCAATAATTGTTTTCCATAATCTTATTGTAAACATGAAGTGTGCCAAATCAAATTAATAGTTTTAGTGTCAGTTTCATCTTGATCTTGTTCCACAAACTACAACAAAAGTTAACAACATTGTTGATGTTAGATTTATTTGAAAGGTTTATCCAACATGGATTGCAAACATCATGCTTGTAAGAAAATAAAAACAAGAAAAGAAAAGAAAGGTTTCCATTGGCTTTCAAGATTTAAATCAAGTATTTTCTAAAGATGATTTTCCATTTCCTATCAAAAATTTAATCATAGGTGACTCCATGGATCATGAAGTTTTATTCTTTATGGATGGTTTTTCTAGTTATAACTAGAGAAATGAACTTACAATATTTTGCACTTTAAAAAGCATATATTATTAGAAAATGATTTCATTTGGCCTGAGAAATGATGGAGGAACAAGTAGTACATGTAAAGGATCTCTGAAGATATTCCATATATAAAGATTGGGTGTTTTGTAGATGATTTGGTTATTAAAATTATAGGGATTTATAGAGAAACTAAAAGGATTAAAATAGAAATAAAAGAGTCTTTATATAATTTTAAAGCTAACTTAGGTATATATTATAAGATAAGATGATGGTTATACCAAAGAGAATGTAAAAATAAAAAATATCATAAGTGTTTGTATAACTTTAAAAAAACTATGTTGAGTAGTAATAAATCAATTTAATGAATAATAAACATATAATTTGATAATGTAAACATGATTGTATCACTAATAATTTACTAATTCATATATATCATTTCATGGCATGATTTTCTATTTTTAAATTACATGTATTATTAATATTTTTAACCTGACTTAAAGAATAAAATAATTAAGTATATCATATTTTTTTATATCATTTTATTAGGATGTGATTTCATGAGATGTTATAAAAACTCCTTCAATTTCTCTTGGGTCAAAGGTAAGAATGAGTGAAAGGATCATCCTTACCATCATATTTTTATTATAAACCCTATAAAAGTCCAATAACTTTTACTTTATACAAAAAACAAAACCAATCCTTCAAATGTTTTTAGATATAAAATTGTTATTATAAAATTATATTTCAAACCCTATAAAAATCAATTCAAGCTTCCAACTTTGCTCTATTATTTGAGTTTAATTCATTTATAATTATGAATATACGATAATAATGATAATTTATTATGATAAATAAATTATATAGTGTTAGTATCTTTTATTATTATATACAATATCTATATATCATGTAATATAGTTGATGCATTACCTTTTTAATTACAACAATATAAATTAATTTAACAAATAACAAGGATGCAATTGCGAGAACATAAACATGATTCCTAAATATAAAAATATTTTGAATTCTTCATGTACGAAAAAGTACTAATTACTTATTATTTAATAGTTAATAAATATTATTTGATGCCACAATTTTATAGTTTTAAAATTACATCTAAAATTAATATTTTAAATACAATGTTAAAATAAAATAATTAGATGTATGAGATTTTTTATATTATTTTATTAAGATGTGATTTTGAGAGATGTTGTAAAAAATTTAAAGAGAGATTTTTTTAAAAAAGGATTTAAGCATGCTCAAATGAGTTCAATGCTAGATATATTAATTAATTAATTAATAATAAAAAACTAAAAAAGGAGAAGGTTTTTTTTTACTCCTACTCAGGTAGCACTATTCATTTGAATATTTTTTTCTTTTCTTTTCTTTTCTTCACTTTTTTTTAATATTTTAATTTTTAATATTAGATTTATCAGGGAATGAACTTAATAATTTTTTTCAATTTATTTTTTATAAGATCATCCCATACTCATGACTCAAATCATGAGTTTGATGAGTTAACTCAGATGAATTGAGCCTTTTTATTTTTCTAATTTTTTTTTTAATTTCATCCTTCAATATTAAGTTTATTATGAATTAAGTTTTGTGATTTATTTTGGTCTACTTTCTATAAAGCTATTACCATCTCATGACTCGGATTACCAGTATGACATATTATTTTTTTGTGCTTTTTTAATATTTTTTTAAATTTATCTTTCAATGCCAAGTTGATTGAGAATTGAGTTTTATAATTTTTTTTTTAATTTGCTTTCTATTGGCTTCCTGATCTCATGACCCGGGTTATGGGTTTGGAAGGTTAAATCAGGTTGACTCAGATTATGTTTTTGGATAATTTTTTAATTTTTTTTTTCCAATTTTATTCTTGAACATTGAGTTTATTGGAAATTGAGTTTCGTAATTTTTTTAATTATTTTTTATTGGGTTATTGATTAGTACTTAAAAATATATTTTTATCAAAGTTTTATATCATCATTTTGCACTTGAAGTATCGATAACTCCTTAACTAAAACATGTGTTATAATAACATATCTAATAATATAATGTACTTTTAATTTGTGGTAAATGTTCATCTTAAATACAGACCTATCATATAAATAAAAAGATTGATTGATGAGTTTAAGATCTGAAATTGAAAGGACAGAGAGATTACCAAACTTAGAAAAGAGATGCTGATGCAGTTCAAACCAGAATACTGTTTGGTAATTGGATCATATCTAGAGCTGTAGATCTCGGATTTAGGTTTATTTTATATGTGGAAAGGTAAGACATATACCTACAACTTTCATGAGGTCTGGTTTTAAAAAGGTCGTTTTCACTTCCAAATTATAGCAACAATGAAGAAGTCTGAATCTGTCCTGCAGCCCAGACACTCTTCAGTGTTCAACCTATATCTTGAGTTCTGGAAGTCCAAATGACCTTAATTTTTTTTTTTTTATGGAAAGCTTAGACAATTTCTTAGAACTTTCATGAGTACAAGGGGGT